GGAGCCTCATATTTTATAGCACCTACGTCGCTTTCTACGAGGATACTCGTTCGACATTCTCAGAGTTGGCTGTCTATTTCGGATCTGTGCCATCCGAGCATCTCGACACCTTGGATGAGCGTCTCAAAGCGACTTTGCAACGGATAGTAGCAGAAGGTCTCGACATGGACCGAATGTCATCTGTCATAGCACGGGACCGACTCAAGGTATGGAACCACTTGATTACGATCACTACTGCCAATAACACTTATCATAGCTCATGAGTGCGCTCGAAAACAGCGGTGGAGACGTGTTCTCCAATGTTATCATCAACGATTTCGTTTACGGAGACTCGGAGGGCGGTGACCTAGACAAGAGCCTTGGCGAGTATTACGACGTTCTAAAAACTTGGACTAGCAAAGATTGGACCAATCTTCTCTCCAAATACTATGACGCCCCATCGAGATTGGTCGTTCGTGGCAAGCCTTCCGCTGCCCTCGCCGAGACGCTGGAGAAGAAAGAAAAGGCCCGCGTTGCTGCCCAAGTCGAACAACTTGGACCTGAGGGACTCGCAAGGCTCGAGAGAGAACTTGCAGCTGCCAAGGAAGAACACGAGAAACATATCCCGGAAGAGGTTTTGACTAGCTTCCCCGTTCCTGATGTGAACAGCATCTCGTGGATATCCGTTCAAAGCGCCAAAAGCACTCCATCGAGCTCAGCAGCACAAAAATCTGGATCGTCCGAACTGGAGAAACACATTCAAAAAGATGCGACACCGCTCACGATGCAGGTTCAATTCGATCATGTTCACGTATGTGGTTATAAATTGGCTCTAGCTGTCTTGGTATCTGACGCAGGAAGTAGTCGGACTTTACATCTATCCACACCCTGATGTCCCTTGCACAGTTGCCTGATGATTTAAGGCCGTAAGTTATATCCCATCATAGGTCTCGCACCTCACATTTTGCTCTAGTTATGCCATGCTTTATCAAATGTGCCTCTTCAATTCACCAATCAACCGACCTGATGGAACCCGCCTCACTCATGAAGAAGTCATAAATGCACTAGACAAGGATACAGTTGCCTATGACAGCGGGTTGGGAATGGATGGAGTGTTCAGCGAACTACTACGCGTGTCAATCAAAGTGGAGTCGACGAAATACGACAGTGGCATTGCCTGGCTCCGCGACGTGATATTCCAAAGCGAGTTTACCAAAGAGCGATTAGAAGTCACGCTTGCCAAAGTTCAGCAAAGCATTCCAGAAATGAAACGAGACGGAAATTCGGTGACAAGAAGCGTCTTTAACGACCTTGCCTTTGATAGCACCCTGACTTCGAAGAATGCCGGAGTTACATCCCTTATGGAGTGGATCCCTCGAATGGCAGCTGAAGTTCAAGAAAATGTGCAGGGCGTTATCGAAAAGCTCGAAAGCGTCCGGAGGTTGAGTGGGTGACTCGTTCACGTTTGGGGAGAACTGCTGACAGAATCGTATAGTTACCAGTCCCTCAGCATTCCGTTTCTCAGTTACTGGGAACATCCTTGGTCTACCGACCCCCAAGGCTTCTCTGGCTGCGAATTTCAAGAATTTAGCAGTAAGTTTGAGTTTCTTCATCCTTCACGCCCTCTAACCTTTCCAAACAGCCTGCAGAACCACAAGCTCTTAGGTGGAGTAGTGACGCGTTAACCGGGCTCGGCAAGAACCCTGCCAAGAAGGTATTTGATTATACGATCGTCGATTCGATCAACCACTGACTTGGCCAAGGCGGTAGTTCTATCTCTTCCTACTATTGAAAGCAGCTATGCAATCCACGCTAGCCAAGCATTTGTCGGGTTCGACCACCCGGATTCTGCGGCCTTGCGCATCGCGTTAGAAGTCTTGGACGGGACAGAATCCTTCTTATGGGTAAGTTGAACGGTTACAATAATCCTTGCGTGACGTTGACTCTGTGTAGAAATATATCCGTGGTTCGGGACTCGCCTATGGAGCCAATATGGGGCTTAGCCTTGAAAGTGGACTGGTTACATTTGGGCTCTACAGAGTACGTGGACAGTTTTTGTTCGATTGGCAAATGGCCTGACCTGTGCTGGCATATGCAGAGCCCGAACTCATACAAGGCGTTCCAAGAGGCGGCAAAGGTCGTCCGTGGTCTGTGTGATGGCTCTGTAAGCGTAATATGACTGGGGACCGATGGGCGATATTTCTCATACTATTCTAGATTGAACTGAAGCAGACCAGCATGGACGCCGCGCAAAGCAGTCTGGTATATGCGCTAGCGAGGCGCGTGGCGTCACCGGGCAAAGCGGTACGTTGTGGTTTGATATTTGGTGCAGGGCCATCCATTGATAAATTAACAACAAGGCTATAACGTCGTTTGTGAATCAAGCCCTCAAAGGTGTATCCCAGAACTGGGAACAAGATGTGCTCGCTCAATTGAAGGTATGGGCGGCTTCTGTGGAGTCCCAGGTCCCATCAAAGACTGATGATGCTTTGCGTGTGTTTTTTTCTCGTTTCTTCCCAGGCTGTTACCCCAAGTCAAGTACTTGATGTTCTGAAGCGCTATGTTCTCCCCATATTTGACCCGTCGGCATCAATAGCAGTGGTTGCATGTGCGCCAGGCAAGGCAGACGATATTGCGGCAGGACTGACTTCAGAAGGATTCGAGGTCGAACGCAGGACACTAGAGGTCGACGCGACCGAATTGGAAGTAGTAGGTTCGATAGAGGGGAGCGAGAGTGACGATGGAGGCAGTAGCAGTGATTCGAGCGAGGAGCATGCACACCTTGACGTTCACCCGGAGTTACGGTAAATTGGTTAAGCGCCACGACGGTAGAATTGCCTTTTATAAATTCATTTTTTAATCCCTTTTTTCGTAAGAGGCATGATTTTCAGTGTCATCGTCCTGTCGCAGAACAAGATTGACGCTTCGAAGCTCTTTCAGTCTCCCCCACGACTGACCTGGATTTTAAGAATCATTCGGAGTAAATATGAGCGAAGGTAAGGCGTCAACGGAGATATCTCTATTCTGCTTCCCAGCGGCCGTTATTTATTTAAAATTAAATAATATCGCTTACTGGGGCTTGGCTTTCCATGTAGACCCCTTTTCGGATCCTATCTTGGAACCTCCCGCCAGAGGCCGTTCAAACCAAAGGCCTCCAATTCGTGACAAAATGAGTCAAGAAATTCAAGAAGTTCAAATCAAAGACGTTCGTGACAAGCCTTCACGATCAGCAGCGCCTGGGGGGTCAGTCGTTACCACCAGCTCGCGCGCTCCTGACACTAACTTTGTATTTATTTTTATAGCTCTACAGCTCCTCCAGTCCCTCCAAAGAAACGATCTCAGTCTCAGGATAATGTGCTCCAAGCCGCGGCCGCTGCTGAGAAAGCACGTGCAGCCAAAACTGGCAAATCTAACAAGAAGGGTGGTCTTCATGTCGATGTAATTGATCGTCTTGATTACAGCGGTGTCGGTCCTGCCAGTAAGTCGTCTCACACAGCCCGCGAGCCCAGTATCACACCACCACCCCATGCATGGCGTCTGATAGTGTTGCAACCGCCTCGTTTAAATTTCGCGCTTATATCGTGCTAATACCTGCTCAGCATTCCATCATGATGGTCCATTTGACGCTTGTGCACCATCCCGGAACCGTCATCGTACAAAGGCCCCCATGCTCGCATGGACCCCCAGTCAGAACGACGAAATTGAAAACAATGGTGTTTTGGGTGCTCCAGATGCAAATGCAAAGAAAGCATCCCTTCAGTCCACTCTCAACAGTACCAGAGCCGGAGATTCCCCGTACGCCGCTGCTGCGTCATCTCCTACGACGAAGAAAAGCAAGACGTCCAAAGACGGTTCAGGACAATACGAGAATGTACGACCCTCCGACCTAAAGCGACGTGATACGTTGGCGGATGCTTGGGGCAAGGGCGAGCCAGAACCGTTTGAAGAGTTCTTTGCAGAGTCGGTGTTACCGGCGGCTATCGGCCACGGGGATTCAGGTCTAGCTTCTGCAGCAAGTTCCATCTATAAGGATAAGGATGGGAGTGGCAATGGTGCCGGAAAATCCGGTCGACGCACCAACGGCGGGGTACGCCGCCCGACCAACCGACCACCCCTCCCTCCACCCCAACCTATATTCCCAGAAGCCGTTGCCAACGAGGACGAACCGATTTCCATTGAAGTCCCCACCAACACAGGGGGACCCAATCGCTCGCGATCACTCATGTATCGTATCAAGAAGATGCGAGACGCGCCCAACGTCCCAGTGGGTGATTACGATGAAAAAGAAGTCACCTCTGGCTCGTCCTCTGAGAACCACAATGGACGGCCAACCCACAGGTCTCAAAACTCTCGTGCAGGTAGCGGAAACAAGTCTCCCACTGCTACCGGATTTGGCGGCGATACTCCGGGCAGCAAGGCGCTTCCTGGTCTCCCTCCACCTAGCGTCAGCCCGCGCGATGAGCGAGCTGGTGGTGGATATTTCGACAAGGGGATTGGGAGGAAAGCCAGTATTATGCAGAAAGTACGCGGCGTCGTCGTCGGCAAGAAGTAACGAACCCCCGACCGTCCACAACGCGCGTATATCCCACCGAATCACATCCCCAGCGCGTCGGTATGCTATCATTGAACCCACATGTGTTTCCTTCTCTTAACTTGACCGGCCACCTCTCTCTCTCATGCAGCATCATCCCTTGGTCTCGGAAACCGCGTCCACTCCTTTTCATAATCCTCTTTTCTATCTCTCTATAGCGCACACGCCCCCCCTCGATGCTTCCTGCGTCCCTTTTTCTTAGTATTCAACATCTAGTAACCCTTAACGAGAACACGTCGCCCGGTGGACTTTTTTTTTGTACATTCAAGTGCTTCACATTCACCGGATTGTGCGGTTCTTTGATTTTTTGCCTGCGTTCCATGAAATAAACTTATTTGTCTCTTCTCGAAACCTCCGGTGTTAGGCTTGACGAATTGCAACAAAACTTTGATTGTCTCTTTTGTAGAAGATCGAAACAAAACAAAACGAATTCCCCCTAGCCGACTTGAACGACTGACCTCGTCATTACTAGTGACGCGCTCTACCACTGAGCTAAGAGGGATTTATATAGTAACAGAAATAAAAGTTTTCCTATAGCGGTGCAATGCTACGAGCGTCTTTTCCAGAAGGTAGCATGGATTGGTAGCTCAGACAATGATGGTTTATGAACGCGAATCACTTCCGACCGCAGAGCAAGCTTAGGCACACCGACATATGTTATATAAAGTATTAAGATTGTATCATAATTGAAGCCCCTGATAACAAGGTTAAAAATCGTATCCCTGTCAGGAATGGTCAGTATCATGGGCATAACGCGTGGATGATGTGAGCCCACCTCTATCTGGAAGGTTTTTCCATACTGAAGGTAATTTTCCACTATCTTGCGGATACCATCCGGCAGCCCCATGCTGATCAAGGTAAAGGAGACTTTGGAGCTTCCATGTATCAAGCAGAGCTTGTAAAGATGCCGGGCAACCGCAGTTGGGAACTGTCGTACCAGTGAGAAATAGCACAATGAAGTAATTGTCATGCTTACAGCCATCTCGTAATACCACCGGTGCTGATATGCCGCCAGGCGAATGGCGGCATTCAGACTCCTCTGTAGATCCCCTTCGTCCGCGTAGATTTCCAGTAAGCGCATCCACGCTTTGGCAGAGAATTTGATATCCAAGCATCGTTGGTAAGCCTCTTTTGCTTCCTCCTTGTGTAAAAGTCGTGTGCCTAGATCTCCCAGAATCTCCCACTCGGCTCCGGTCTTGCGATACGCCTGGCGATGGTTCTTGAAGTGAGCCACTTCTGCGCGGAAGATTGTCCACACCCGCAAGTCCTAAGAATGATAAGCCACTGTACTAACTCTGTACAGCTCTGCACTCACCTCGTACAAACACATAAACATGTTGTCGAGCCACCTTTCACAGAGACGTTTGCTGTTCAAAGCCGTAGCATCTGCCTTGATGTGGTTCTTACGATACTCGTCCTCTGCTTCGTCAACTTCGGAGGCTGCCGCTTTTCCAGGTTTGTTGACTCCTCCGCTTCCATGCGTGAACCCAGCTTGCTTGATGCCATTTGGGCCAGGTCCCTCGGCTTGTGCAGATACAGGTTCGTCTGTGGAAGCACGGGGCTGTGCAGTCTCTTCAGGTTCGCTTGACGTACTTTTTCGAGGTGGTGAGACCATCCCTCGGGTACTCGCGTTTTCGTCCACATCATCTTCAGTCGCTTTACCATCTACAGCGGTGGCAAGAGAGTCGCGAACGGATTCACCCTCGTCTTCTTTGTGTTCTACGCCATTGACGCCCACTTCGCCGTCTTCCATGCTCTCGGCCGCAGCTTGGGCCTTTTGGGTGCGATACTCTTCCTCCATGACGAAAACTGCGCTCCGGGTTTTGAGTAGCTCGTCCCATCCGATGGCAGAGACGAGGTTACAGAGTAACTCGTACGCCTTGGCAAAGGTTCCTCGAAGAGCAGGTGCAGGTAGTCGTGCGAGTGCGGCATCCGTGTCCTCCTCTAGACCATCTCCTTCCAATATTTGCGAGTCGGCGATGTATTGTTTGATCGGCAGGACAGTCCGGCTTGGCGTGGGCATTCGGTGAAGATCCCGGTCATTGTATGTGAACATAGGGCACGAATTTAGCGTAAGAAGTGCCGAATCGTATTGTCCGAGTTCGATGTAGACTTCGGTCAACTTGGCCCAGGTGACGAATTCACTGGGCGCACAATTGACGGCTTGCTGTGCAAGGCGGACAGCCCACTCATATTTGCCTTTGGAACGGAGAAAGTCACACTGTACGTGAAGGAGAGTAAAGGACTGGGGTGAATCGCGGATGGCTTGCGAGAGGATCTGAACTGCTTTAACTTCCTCGTCTGTTGAAATATGTCAAAGAGACCCTCACTAGAGAAAACTTCGTACATACTCATTCCGATATAACTCTTCGCAAGTAAGGCGGCAACCTCTGGCGTGCGGACCATAAGCTTTTCAAAGAGATTTGCCGCTTGGCCAAGTCGGAAACTGTCGCCAAAGTATTTCATGATCCCCGCGGTCAAATGATTGGAGACCAGACTGGCCACTTGGATTTCTGGGTCCGAGCCCAATTGCCACCCTTGGGTGAAAAGCGCCTCTGCAGCCTCCAAGAAACGGACCTCACTCTCTCTGGTGGTGATTGGATCCAGCTTTCTGTAGCCTATTAGGCGGTAATTGGCGTCGTCGGCGTACAGGATCGCCCGAAGAATGGCAGATAGGTACGTCTCTTGCCATAACTCTGGCGTCGGCTCGTGTCTGCAATAAATAAACTTGGATGAGGATCTTTATAGATAGATTATGGAGGTAAATCAGACCTTTCCCCACGTATGTCAACCACGTATGCGTGTACACCTCCTGGAATCTTGACATCGACTCTCATATCGATGCGCGAAAAGGCATTGTAGCAGCAGTAGACACCGCTACGAACTTTCCAAACTGGCGCTTTTGCAAACCAGGTAGAGTTGTCCTCGACAGCATAGGTGAGAGAATTTAGATACGCGGCGAGAGAGGCAGACGTGGACGCATCAACACCCGATATATAGTGATATGATCCGATCTTTAGGATTCAAGAATACGGTTATAGCATTGTCGGGGAGGATTGTGCCCGTCAGCATTGTGTAAAGTGGCCCAGACGACTTCACTCACGTCCTTTTGGCCAGACTTGCCGCTGCTTTTGACTACTTGGCACAAATCTGGAGGTCCTAGTTCCCTAAACGATGCTGCAAGAAATGAGATTCACGGGTTTGTCGTCATCAAGAGATTTTGGCGTACCCAGCGTTTCCGTTCTCGCCGTCAGACATTCGCCGAGTTCCACCTAGAAACAACGAGGGCGATAAGCGGACTGTATGTGTGGTTAGGATGATAATAAAGCTGACCTCGAAGAATTCGGGGACATCCCTGAATTCCATTTGTGTCGTGGTAAGGTCAACGTTTTGATGTAGCGCTTTTCAAATTTCGACCCGCCCACAATGAGAGGCTCTCTGACTGCTCTTAGCAAGGCCTCAAGACGGCCACTGACTGCTAAAATGGCGAATAAAGATTACTACAAGGGTGATTAACGTTGCCTTGTTGGTTTTGTTTGGCTGAAGCTGAAGATGGAAAACAGGAAACAGGCAAGGAGCGTTACCAGGAGGTCCAATGACGGGTCCTCCAGGTCGTCATACAAAACGGGGAAATTATATCATCGATGACACGAAAGTGCGCGTGTTTGTCTCCCCACCGCCAGCAATCCTCGACGCTTCACCAGTAAGCATTGAAACACTTTTCGACATCATAATCACTGACTTTTCGCGTTTCTTAGCTTCGTCCCTATGTTGTTCGAACAGCGGAATTGACTGAGAAGGAGGAGCGAAAAGACTTGCGTGGTTGGAAGGCCCTAAAGGGAAGAAATTACTTACGGCTATTATCGAGCGAACAAAGAGAAGAGGCTCGTGCTATTGCAAGGTCTTTACCCCCGCTTCCTGCACCAGAAGTTTAGAGTTCTTGTGCAGTATGTGAGTACGCCTCTGCAATGAATTCTCCAGGCCATCTCATGACCATATAGATTGACAGCTGTATTTTATATGCTCTTCGTAATACGTTCAGAACCCGGATTTATGTTTTCATCGGAGATCAAAGACGTTCCATTGCCGTGCTACAATGCAAATCACAAAACGAGACAACAACAAACAGGAAAGGCTACACGACGGTTGGACGTCCGTAAATTATGCAAATACCGCGAGGAGTACCATGTCCTTGCAATTAACTGATAAACGAGATATCCTAGGTAGGAGGCCTGTTGGAAGGCGATTCACTCTGCTTGTTGGAAGCAGTACCTAGATCATTTTTTGAGAGGCTCAACTAGATCAACTAGAAAAGCCAAGGGCCACCTAGGAAACGAAAATGTCAACAAGTATCAAAACGAGTGTAGGGATGAACCAATACCTCTTTGAGTGCCCACATCGGTCCCGATTTGGAGACAGCTTTGGTGGATGAGGTTGAGGGCTTTGACGGCATCCCTTCCATCGATCACACATGAGATGTTGATTTCTGACGCGCCTTGGCTGATCATCTCGATGTTGACTTTGCCTTCTGCAAGAGTGGAAAACATGCGACCGGCGATTCCGACCATATTGCGCATTTGTCTCCCGACGAGAGACAAGATGGCCATGTCAGACACGACTGTGACTGTCCCAAGTTTCTGGAATTCTGCGACCAGACGGTCTAGAGCCTTTTTGCCCTGTCGATTTTCCGCCGCCATGCTGACATGAACCTCACTCGTGGAGATCAAGTCGACAATCAGCCCGCCCTTGTCTAGAATTCCAAAGATTCTCGCCAAAAAGCCGTGTGAGACGCTCTTTCTGTTGGAGGTAATGTTGATGACCACGATACCCTCCTTGATCGTCACCGCCGTTGGCAGCTTGCGGTTCCTTTGGAATCCATTTTCGGTACCCAAAGAGAGGTTCGAAATCGTCGTGACAGCGGGTACTGGCGAATCTGGGGATGGTGGCGAGTCGATTGCGTCCGCTGGGCAAATAAGTGTTCCACAACCCGCAGCATTTTCGACGTTTTTGATGCGGATGGGAATGTTTTGTCGGATGACTTGTTCCATCGTAAACGGATGGACGACCTCACTTCCGTAGTAGGTCAATTCTGCCGCTTCATCGGGGGTGATGGAAGGAATCAAACGGGCCGTAGGGACTTTACGCGGGTCAGCCGTAAAGATACCGTCGACTTCTTTCCAGATTTGCAGTTCCGACGCCTTGAGACCCACAGCGAGCAAGGCCGCGAGGAGATCCGTGTATCCACGGCCCACCTGGCGGAGGAGCGATCCAGGGACGGGACCGAAGAATCCAGTGACGACGGGGACTCTTGTACCACATTGGGCCAAACGCTCTCCCAACACGGCGGATAGGCGGTCATAAAAGGATTGGTCGAGTGACTGCTCCTTTGAGATGTCGATATCATCCCAGGCCGGCACAATGTTCTCCAAAGAGACAAACTCGGCGTCGATACCTCGGTCATTGAGTACGGTCGCGATGAGTTTGCACGCCATGCGTTCGCCA